TTTGTGCATATGCGTGTATTATCATATACTTTTTTCCCCCCAAAGAACCTGCCTCATTCAGTGCACAGGATGGATGTTGCTCATTGGTGTTCATTTCTTCTTATTCTCATCATTCATTGTGTGTGGCCCTTTGCATTATTTGCTCCACACCATACCAAACCTTTCACTTAATACAGAATTAATTTCCTCATTGGCTAGTGATCTCATTGTAGTATCTTAATTCTTAATGGATTTATCTTTACAACGTTGTGAGATCTGGTGGTATTATCCACATTTTACAGATGGAGCACTGTGGCACAGAGATCAATGCCTAAATTATCAAGTGCCAAGTAATTTTAGGTGCTCAATTTGATAAGCCATGGGCCTCATTTTTCGGAGTACCTAACATTTTATTGCACTTTATATGTTCAGAGCAGAGGTCCCATTGATGTCAGTAGGAGCGATGAGTGCTTCTGCAAATTGAACCCCCAGATGTCTCAAATTGGGTACCCAGAAAATGAGGAAGACACAGTGGCCACCTGTGAAGTTTTGGTTTAAGTGACTTGCCACGCATCATGTCGGAATTCTGGCAGAAGCAGGAATTGAGTCCAGTTCTCCAGAGTGGCATTCAGCTGCCTTAACTATGAGCTCATTCTTTCTCTTCCTGTAGTTCTTTGGTTTATTCACCACAGGTTTATTCAACACACACCTTCCAACATTTTCAATAAATGCGGCAGTGGTCCTACAGAACACAGCCTTATTCTCTGTACTGTCCTTATTCATTCCCAGAGCACTGTCCATCCTGTGCACCGAATGAAACATGGGCCCTGAGGAAAAAATGTGATCATGTAATTAAAGACTGTCTCATGGTTAAGACCCTTAGTTTTCGGTTTTTATTTTGTTTTTAATTTTCTGGGAATTTATCTGTGTTTATTACAGAAATTTTAAAAATGGGTGAAAATTGCTGCAAAAATTAATGTTATAATTTTCTGGGTAAATATCAGTGTTAATATCAATCATCCTATTTTTTAACTCTTAAAAGACTGATAATCTGAAATGTAGATGATACAGTTTTTCATTTTCAACCCATTTTAGCATGAAAAGTAATTCACTTTTATTGTTTTTGAATGCTGATAGCGTGGAAAGTTACCTGTAAAACTGGTAATCATAGATTCATTGAAATCTAAGACTGGAGAGGACCTCGATAGGTCATCTTGTCCAGTCCCCTTCACTGAGACAGGATCAAGTATTATCCAGACCAGTGGTTCTCAAACTTCATTGCACCACGACCCCCTTCTGACAACAAAAATTACTACATGACCCTAGGATGGAGGACTAAAGCCTGAGCCCGTCCTAGCCCTGCTGCCCCAGGCTGGGCGGGGGAAGGTGGGGGATGTGGAGCCAAAGCCCAAGGGCTTCAACCCCTAGCAGGGGGCCTATAACCTGAGCCCCGCTGCGGAAGTCAAAGCCTGAGCCCTGCCACCCAGGGCTGAAGACCTCTGGCTCGGGCTTGGGGCCCCCTTTGGCCCTGGGCCCCAGCAAGTTTAACATCAGCCTTGGCAAACCCGTTAAAACGGGGTCATGACCCACTTTAGGGTCTGACCTACAGTTTGAGAGCCACTGATTGAGACCATGCCTGACAGATGTTTGTCTAAACTGTTATTAAAACCTCCAATGACAGGGATTTCTCAATCATCCTAAGTATGTTGTTCCAGTGCTTAACTACCCTTACAGTTAGGAAGTTTTTTCTAATGTATAACCTAAATCTTCCTTGCTGCAATTAAAGCCCATTACTACTTGTCTGTCCTCAGTGAATAAGGAAAACAATATATCACCCTTCTCTTTATAGCAACCTTTTATTTACTTGAAGACTGTTACCATGTCCCCACTCAGTCTTCTCTTCTCCAGATTAAACGAACGCAATTTTTTCAGTCTTGCCTTGCATGTCATGTTTTCTAGACGTTTGATGGGTGCAGAATTGACAACAGTACATATGCCAGTGTTTGACGTATTACAGTACTTCTGACCTGACCTGGTTCTCTGCTCTGGAAGAAGAGAGAGAGGCTTGGCAACGTGGGGTCTGGGAAGTTCCACTGTACTGAGCGTGACCCCCCCACAGAATCCTGACCAGCTTCCCGCTCTGTAAAGAGAGATGGCAGTTACAGAACTGCCTCTCCTTCCAGAGTGGAGAGCTGGGTCCGGGAAGTTCCAGCACTTTCAAAATAAGGGTGAAAATCGGTAAAACCCACATCATAGCTTCTGTAAAACATGGGGAATTTTTGGCTAAAATTGATAAAAACCTAAAATGAAGGTCCTCATTCATAGTGTATATGCACAAGGAGGCAGTATTAAAGTTCCACATGAAACCTTGAGACTGGCATCTTCTAACTTTTGAGTGCTTGATTTTGTAATCGTAAGGTTCTTTTAATATAGTTTTTTGGATCTCTCTCTCTCTCTCTCTGTATATTTTATATATATATACACACACACACACACACATAATGTGTGTGAGAAAACTCTGACTAGTACCTTGGAAACTGACATGTTGAAATGATTGACATTTCACTGCTTGATAAATTCAAAAAATGAGCTATTGAGTCTTCAGTCAATCTAACAATCTAATTCGATGAATAGTTTTGATACTATATGATGCAAATATTTCATATTTATGTGTATATAATTAGGCTTGAATATTATTTTAGAGATGCAGCGTAATTTGAAGAATTCACCCCTGTGCTTCCTCTTCCTGTCACACTTTTTCTCTCCCTCCACTCTCTCTCTTTATCTGGTTGACACCCGATTTGTTACATTATGTTGAATTTAAATGCCTACACTTTCTGGAGCAAGGACCTATAGCTACACTTGTTTTGTGAGGCATTTGTCATCTTTTGGGGCACTTTAAAATATGATGTCAGCAGAGGGGATTGAGAACTCCTGATACCTATTCCTGACTCTGCACTCACCTAACTTCTTTTAGTTCCTTCTGTAAATATTTGTTATTTATCTACCTTAAAAGTTAGAAGGGGATCAATGAAAATAAAGGTAGGAAGAGGGAGGAAACCCTTTGTCCTGTGATAAGAAAGGTCTTGGTTTGAGAAAAGCAGAACTTGCCTGATCTGAGCCTAACTTTTTCAGTGAGCTTCTGTGCTTTTCTGATTAGTTTCACTTGACTTAACAGTTGTGTTTAATTCTTATTTGAACTGTGCAAATTTTTTTTGCTATAATTAGATTTTGCAATGACAGTGGAACTAACTAGTGTCACTTGTACACAGTATTAAGCTATGATGTGTACATAAATATTACAAGACACTTATCTGATGTCATACTATGTTTAATCTGTGTGTGTGGTCAAGAGTAAAAGACGGAAGCTGCAATAACCTTAAATTAAGATTTATGTAGAGTTAGTGGCTGTCAGTTTTGGCGCCATGAAAAAGATTTGAACCATAATAAAATTCATTAACTGAGGATTTATTAGCTAATATATTGTGAGCCAGAAAGGGAAGCTGAATACTTTAAATAATTCAGTGACTAAAGGGGTAAGGGAAAGAATGTCAGTTTACCTTCTTCGAGTAGTGTCCCTATGGGTGCTCCACTGTAGATGTTTGTGCACCTCTGTGCTGTCCATGGGAGAATTTCAATAGTAGTCCATCCCTCCCGTGGGGCTTTCCTCCACCCGTGAGGCCAGCTGGCATGCACGGGTATTCCCTCCTCAGTTCCTTCTCAACCGCCCTAGGCTAGAGACCGAGCTAGGAGCTCTCCATTCACAGATCATTAGCTCCTTTAGTTTTGCAAATTTTTGCTTCTCTTTAATAGTCTTTTCTTTTAGTATTTATTTCTGTTTCATTGGCCATGCCAAAAGAAAAAAGGGGGAGGAGGGAGAAAAGAAAGGAAGAAAAAGTAGAAAAGGTTGCCTCCTTCCGACTCTGGTGGGGAGCGATCCCCCTGCAGTGCACAATGATTTGCCTGGCTCCCCAGGCTTCAAAAAATGTCTTAGCTGGAAGGATTCCATCCCGGTAATGGTTGGACTTTTGCAGTGTATTCACTGCGTGGGGAGAAGCACAATCTACAAAATTGTGGCTGGTGCCAGCTGCTGTAATCCAAGTCCAGGAAGGACAGAGTTAAAACTCCTGCTCACGGAGTCGGCCCTCCGTTCCCCAGAGTTCTGGTGAGAACTATCACCGCAACCTTCTACGTCAAAAGCAGGTGATCCCAAAGAAATGAGCCACTTGTTAAAGACATCTAAGAAAAGGTCTGTGAGTCTCCATAATGAGCCCAGATAGAGCAGGAAATGACCTCCAGCTCCATCAGTATCTTCGGTACCTACGGCGCCGAAGCTGCCTTGAGCTGGTACCCAGGGCACGCATGGTACCAAGCCGACAGAGCCAGCTGGACTGTCCAAAAACCCAGTGGGCATGGGCAAAGAAGTTCTGGTACCACTGGTGAATGAGAAACATAGCTGTTCCGCACCAGGGAAGGCTACGTCAACTAGGTTGTCGGCACCGGCACCAACAGCCATCGGAACTGATACTAGTACCCCCCGCACCGACTGACTACAGGTGCACATTGGACCTCTTGCTCTCTGATGCACCGCACTCGCCCCTTCTCAGTACCAGGGCTCCGGTACCAGGGCTCCAGTACCAAGTTCACCAGGAGTAGTGGACACAATGGCATATCCACACCCTGCACTGTGTCTCTCCTCTTCAGACTCAGATAGTGAATGAGAGGACTTGAGTTTCTGTTGCATGTCCTAGCCACCATACTGGTCCACAGTTCCAGCCACCAGCTCCCTACACGCAGTGGCCATACTGAGACCTCTGGCAAACCCAGAGGCAACAAGCCTCACAGATCCCTAGTCTGGAGTACCAGCAGGCAAGGTTTAAATTGTTCATCTCATAATATTGTACAACTCCCTTATTTTTAATTTCTCTCCCTTTCAGTGAACTCTGTGTTGTAACTTTAGATTGTGGTAACTGTCAAACTGGTGTTTACACTGAGGTCATTGCTGTGTTTTTAATTTTTAGGGGGCTGCACTTAAATACTTGCCAACTATTGTCAATGATGTGAAATTGGTATTTGATCCAAAAGAACTTAGGTAAGTAATGTTAATAAAGTAATGTACTGTGTACTTCCTATTGTCTAGATCTTGTGTATAATTATTTAATGCACAATATTTTATATGAATTTTTATTGCTATCTTGGTAACTTAAATCCCTCGGACAAGAAATTATAATCATTTATGTTACTGCACTTTGATCAGAATTCTTTGCTCGAGCCATCTTCAGGAGTATACATACATATTTTTATTCTAAAGTAAAATGTGTGGTAGGGAAGCCTGTCTAGTAAAGATCATCTAATGAGATGCCAAAAATTGTAAATCATGTGAGTGATATCAGAATTATAGTTCATGTGTTTCGTGCATCACTCTGCACCTCAATTGATTTGAATAATGATAAGCTTTGTTTTAGTTCAATGCACACTAGTTGTGTGTGAAAATTTTACTAGAGCAAAAACAGTTATCTCTCCATGGACCCCTTTTACAAAAAAGGAAAAAGGGAAACATTTGTTTAAAAACAAACAAATAACTAAGATTTGGTAGCACTGCTAATGTGTAAAAAGAAGAAAAAAAAATAGTAATTTATTTTAGATGTTTTGATTACAGACTCTATATTGTCTTCAATTGTATATTCTGTGATTTTATTGAGGTAGTTAAGAGAACATTCAAGTGTTAATAAAATAAATGTGGAAATTCAGAGTTAATTTAAAAAAAAATGCTTGGAGGCTTGAAAATGAGAAGGCTATCATTCAAAAGCTGAATTTCAGTTTGGAAATACTCCGTACAAAAAATTATAATTATTGCTGAAACTTTTCATTGCACCCAGAAGCTAACGTATAACTTTTCATTTACCTATTTTGCATCCCACTGTATATCCTTTTCTATTAAGTCTCCTTGGGCCATGAGTATAGAGTTCCAAGACTAAGCCATTTTTGAAAGATGTATGGCAGCAAAAAGGATTGAAAAATTTGTCCAAAAGTGAAATACTGGCCATTGGACCATCTTACTGAAGTATGTTGTAAATTTTCCATCACTTTACGTCTTAATCAAGATTGGATGTCTTTCTAAGAGATATGCTTAGCTCAACCACAAGTTATAGGGCTTAATGCAGGAACTACTGGGTCAAGTTCAATGACCTCTGTTATGCAGGTTGTCAACCAGGTCCCTTCTGGTCCCAAAGCCTATGGTTTTTTCTGCTTCAGTCTCAGTTCTGCCCCTACCCCAATCAAAGCTGTTCACATAAAGGATCCTTACTATTGTGCTTCTTCCCCTACCTAAGTAGCAGGCTTCTGCATTTACAATAACTCATATTTATTTGTCTTATGTGCATTGCCTTTGCGCTTCAGTTAGACTTTGAAATACATAAGCCGAAATGAAAAATGGAGAGGTGTATGCTGCTACATGAGTAGAGCCTTGTTCATCTGTAATGGAGTGAGGGACAAAAATGAAGAGTAGAAATAAATATATTGGCCAAAGAAATTTAAACTAATTCTGAACACTTAATTGCCGTTCTATAACTCCTCACTATGTAGAAAAGGACCTGGTTCTCCTCTTCTCTCCCCGCCCCCAAGTGTTTACTGAACTGACTCATCAATTTCTTCTCTAGCCACAGACATTTGTTTTCATTTACTTTTGAGAAATTAATATATTCCTTTTCTTAATTGCCCATTTTTATATAGCAAGCTGTTTACAGATTTCATCCTAAATGTTCCAATGGGCCGGCTCACAATTCAGAAGTTGTACTGTTTGATCGAAATAGTTCACAGTGACCTCTTCACGCAACATGGTAAGCAAAACCCTGGAAATCATTACGTTGTCACATTATTCATTGTCTCTAGACCTCCGTCAGTGTTAGTTTTGTCCTCACTGCAGAAGGTAGTCGAGATTGCAACCAATTAAAGTTGTTCCACTACAAGGACAAGCAGATTTAGACTGTGTAAGAAAATGCTAATTCACAATTAGTGTAGGTGGTAGATCATGGAGAAATGAAGGCAAAAACTTGTAATTTGTAATTTAAAAGAGCATTAACACTTAGTGTAATTGGCATGGATTGTAATTTTTAAAATATGAAATTGTCACTTTTGCATTTCTGTAATGGACTCTTGTGTCAAGGAAACTGAGAGAGAGAACTCGACCTTTTTGATGTTTTATATTTTAAATACTTCCCACAAATTCCAAATTAAATACATTGACACTATACCAGGCACCCATGTTTTCATTCCACTTTGCAGCTAGTGGCCCAATGAAGGAGAAGTTAAAATGGTTATTTTATGGATTATCTAGGTTTTCATTTGAGGTACAGCATTGCCTTTCTTTCTAGATGGCTATAGTGTAGCCAGAAGTGTTGTTTCCTGGTGAGATAAGTTAACATAGTGATCAACTAACTGTTGCCCTCTCCTCCCTTCCTAGTAATCTCTTCAATTTTGTCAGAGTTCTAAAGGCCTGAGGAGAGAGAGGCAAAGTCCTTCTCTTCATTTAGATGTTTTGTAGTGATCAAGTAGGGTGAATGAATTTAACCAGGATAGCTTAAAAGGAAGCTGCTCAAACCATTTGGACCCCAAATTTAGATTTGATGGGTTCTTTTTTAAAAGCATTACAAATCTTGATAGTAATAAATGCTGTATTTATGAAACTGTGACTGAGCAGTGAAAAATTATTTTTGGATTTAAACGTCCCCCTGAAGGGTTCACAAGCAGGCAGACTTATATTGGCGTGTGTGTGTGTATATATATATATATATATATATATATATATATATATATGGACCATAAAGTAAAATGGGCTATAAAAGAGAGCAGTCTAATTTTGCTGCCCAATTTATATGAAACTACTGCAGCATAGATGAAGAAAAGTAAATTTTTAATTTTAGAAATATGGTCAATCTTGATTATTTAAGGGAATTTTAGTAATACTGATAAAGATTTTAAAGAAGATTAAACCTGAAAGTATCTATTTAATTCTTTTAATGTATCTGTTTTCTGGGTAACAATGTTACAGATTTAACAAACATAATTCCTTTGTTTTGTCTGATATGATTATAAAAAGATGCCACTTAGGTGAGAGAAGTAACAAGTAACAGGGACTTGAAACTTTCTAGAAGGCTGTGGTCCTTTTTTATCGATTGTCAGTTTTACTTGTAGGTAAAGATGACACACGGAAAAAATAAATGAAGTCTGACCTTAGTGATTGGAACATAGAGTAGTAGGACTTTGATAAATAGGCTTCCTCAGCATTGCAAGGTGTGCAAGGCAAACCTTGCCCCCCCGCCCACCCCAAAAAAAAACAAAAACCAAAAAAACCCAAAAGAAACCCAAAGTCAATTAAAAAGTTTGTCCTATTGACAAAAAAATGCATTGACGCTTTTATTTAAGATTATACTGTACATTTCATGGGCTATATGTCTTTCCATTCTTAACCTATATTTCTCAGGAATTTAGTGGTTATGTTGGAAAAATTCCTTTTGTTGCTAAAATATTGGGGAAAGGAGCTAGATAAAAAATTGCTGGGGAAACAGTTCTTAGAATTATTCATAAGAGGAGTATGAAACTGATTTTTCAGAGTGCATTAGTCCTTAACACCCAACATTTTGAAAGGGCTGTGCAATAGGTGCTGCTCCTTAAAATGCACAAGTACCCTCTGCACCGGTAGTGTTCTGTAGTTATCTGAATTATATGTACCCTCATAGCACCGAACTGTGAAAATGTAGTCCTAAATGTACGGAGTAATTGCTTTTCCTGTTTTGAATTTTTTTAAGTAAATTGATTGGTTAAACCCAGTGTGTACACATACACAGATATTCTGAAGCAGTATATATGCCTTCACATGCAGAGTGCCTGCCTGAGAGTAACTGCTCCCAATGGTTCACAGATCATTTAGTGTATTAGGAGGCAAATTTAGCAGATTTCTAATAAAATAAATTCCATGAATCTTTCATAATAAGGTGACTCTAGCACATAAATGCAGGAATGTATATAGTAAAGATAAGAAACCAGGAAGAAGGATCAAAATGGAACAACATGAATGTAAAATATACCACCATGTATAAAGGAAATTAAAGGGTAAAAACTTATTCTAAGGTTACTTTGTGGGCTAAAATAATTTTGTAAAAGCAAGGAAGCATGATAATATATGCATAAAACTTCTTATAGTCACATTGTACTTGTATCTGAAGAAGTGGGTTTTTTACCCATGAAAGCTTATGCCCAAATAAATCTGTTAGTCCTTAAGGTGCCACCAGACTCCCTGTTGTTTTTATGGATACAGACTAACACGGCTACCCCCTGATATTGTACTTGCATGTCCCTAATACTGAAATAAGTATACCCTCTAGGACCCATAATCTATGTTAAAGGTACTTCGACTTAAGCCTCACACTTCAGGAGAGACTGGATGGTTAATGAGACTGATAATGAGAGTCAGAAACTACACCAGCAGCATCCAAAACAGCTGTACCAGCAGAGCTGCATGGAACGAGGTCCAGTAGAGCCATCCTCTGTTTACACACCTGGAACACACCTGGAACATTAAATGCTTAGTAACCTCAGTAGATGAGGTTGAAAGAACAAGTTACAGTAAAAGCTGTTTTATCTGGCATATTGGGAGAATGAGGGGTGCCGGTAAGTGAAAAATACCAGATAACTAAGAGGGAGGGAGTTTGGGTGCAGGAGGGGACACGTGAGGGGGTGTGGGATGCCGGATCCGTGGGGCGTTCACCTTGGGCAGCTCCCCGCAAGCAGTGACCTGTCCTGGCTGCTCTTAGGCAGAGGTGCGGCAGGCGACTCTGCGTGCTGTCTCCGCCCACAGGCCCTGCCCCCACAGCTCCAGTTGGCCACGGTTCCCAGCCAATGGGAGCTGAAGAGCTAGTGCTCGGGGCAGGAGCAGCACACGGAGCCACCTGCTGTGCCTCCACCTAGGAGCAGCCAAGACAGGTTGCTGCTTGTGGGGAGCCTCCCAAGGTGAGCACCGCCCAGAACCGGCACCCCACACCCACTCTTGTGCCCCAAGCCGCTACCCTGAGCCCTCTCCCGAACCCAGATTCCCTCCCAGAGCCTGTGCTCCACACCTCCTCCCGCACCAACCAGACTATAAACCGGAATTTCAATGAAGATCAGAAATGCCGGTTTATAGAACTTTATGGTTGGTGAAGTGTCTGATAAAACAGCTTTTACTGTACCATGAACAAGCCAGAAAACTGCACCAGCAAAAGCCCTATCACACGAGTAGAGCAGTTCAGCAGGATCTTAATGCTCTCTAGGCCTCTCAGAAATAACTGTAAGTGAACGTTTCCTGTTAGGTTTCTGGACATCTGTGATAACCTCCTCATGTTGGTGTCTAACAGCAAGAGGAATAAAGCAGACTCCTTAGCCAATGGTAGATGGGGAGAACTAGAAACAGCTTTCAAAGCCCTTGAGGTTTCTGATGGTCAGAAATGGTGTGGAGGAGATGTAAAATATTCACCACATAATTGACTTACTCTGACATTCAAGTGAAGAGTGAGGACAAGACAGTATTTGGGTGGTGATGGAGGACAGGATATGAAATGTGAGGGGATTGATTGAATGGTGAAGAAAGGTGAGGGTGACTTACTGAACAGATGGTGAGAGAGGATGTGGTGATGGGAGACGTGAGTAAGAGGGCACTCTTCTCTAGAAGACCATTTTAATGGTTTGCGGTGCATGTATGTTTAGTGTTAGACATAGAGACATATAACCATAAAATCTGGTTATAAAATGTGTATAACTACTAAATAACAGCATGACCTTATTTCTGTAATTCTCATCTTCCATTTTCCCTTCCCTTTCTCACCAGCCCCGCACCCGCAACATGTAGTAGCTTTCACTTGTCATGTCTGCTGTTGTACTGTGGACTCTTTGGAGCAGGGACTGTTTTCTTATATGTGTTTGTTTGGAAAATGCCTAGCACATTTTGGATTATAATTTAATATAAACAATTAGGCCTTTTGATCTTAGCCCAGTTTTGGTGACAATGTTTGATGGCTTTCAGGGGGTATTAGTGAAATGAGCCTCTGATCTCAGTACAGTTTTTAGAAGATGGGTCACAAATGTAAATCGAAGTGGACAAGGCCAAACACTGAATGGGAATGGAGTCTCAAACATTCCGTGCTCCAGATCACGGTTGAAGTAGGTTACCAAGGCATTAGGTTTGCTACCAGTTTTTGTGGCTAGAGAGCTGACTGCCCTGGGGACTTTTCACAAACATTAACATTTGTTTGAAAATAAATTAAGCCAATAGCTCTGTCCACAGCCAATCTCCCCTAACCCTTGCCTTTTGCGATTAGTGAGTCCTTATTACATCGTTCCCCAGCCCCAGTCTCTCTCCATTTATTCAAGACGCTAATTTTAAAATGATAGGCTATTAATATGAAAATATTGTTATGCGTTAGCCCAGTATCTTAGATTCATAGAATATCAGGGTTGGAAGGGACCTCAGGAGGTCATCTCGTCCAACCCCCTGCTCAAAGCAGGACCAATCTCCCAACTAAATCATCCCAGCCAGGGCTTTGTCAAGCCTGACCTTAAAAACTTCTAAGGAAGTAGATTCCACCACCTCCCGAGGTCACTCATTCCAGTGCTTCACCACCCTCCTAGTGAAAAAGTTTTTCCTAATATCCAACCTAAACCTCCCCCACTGCAACTTGAGACCATTACTCCTTGTTCTGTCATCTGCTACCACTGAGAACAGTCTAGATCCATCCTCTCTGGAACGCCCTTTCAGATAGTTGAAAGCAGGTATCAAATCCTCTCTCATTCTTCTCTTTCGCAGACT